CCCCCACCCACAAATTTCCAAAATCGGGAAAAATGGGTACCCCTAATGTGCACCTACATACCAATTTTTAGAAGAATCGATTGAAAAAGGTGGGAGTTATTCAAAATTTATGACGTCACGACACACATCAATTTTGAAAAATGATTTTTTTTAGTTCTAGACCTCGTACGGAAACAAAAATAGCACCATTCGATTTGCCATGAAAAAATGCATCAGTTAAGACACCTTTTTAGGCCTAACAACCAACTTCAAAAGTTGACTCCACTTGACCTGACCTTGGCCTGACCTCGACCTGAAATTCATTCAGAGGTGGTCCATATTACTTATTGAGTGTGCTTATTGATTTCTATGAATAAAATGACAAATAAAACATGTGTCACACATGCCCTTTTCTATATTTTGTTTTTGGTGACCTGACCTGACCTAACCTGACCTTAACCTTGACCTTTGAATGATATTGTATGCAACGAATATTGTCTTGGTAGCCTAAGAACACGTTTTGGGCAATCAGTCTCAGTCCATGCTTCGGCAACTACGGTGCAAGGCCGATACTGTAGAAACTTGCATTTTGTACCCTTGACCTGACCTTGACCTGACCTCTGACCTACCTAAGCAAAAAACTTCGGCTCTTAAGATCCGCCTTGTTGAGAGCTTTCGATTGCCGTTTTCCCCGTCTTTCTAAGACCATCGGTTCGGAAGTTAGACGGGGGGGGCAGAATCTGCTACGCCCCCCAGCAGGGCGCGTATGGCTGAATAGCCCAGCGGGGCGCGGGTTAAAACCCTCGCCCCGTTGGGGGGCATTTTGCCCCCCCCCTGTGGTTTTTCCTGAATAGCACGAAAACGGCGGCGCGCAGCGCCGCCAAATTTTCAGTACCTTCCCGGGCATCAATTTGACACCTTCACACAAAATTTCAAGTCTTAGGTCACCTTAGGTCAGGAGTTATTGAGGTCAAACTGAGGTCATGTTCGAGCAAAAATGAGCAAAAAACATGCAATCTTTAAACGCTCACCAAATCTACAGTTATCAAGCAATTTCAAAGTTCTTTATATGGTCTAGTAGACAAAAAGCGGCGCTACAAAACTGCTATCTCGGATTTTCAAAATTTTGGGTTTTTGACCCCAAAAATCAAAAAAATGAGTTTTTTTAGATAAACTTTGAAAAAATCCAAAAAATTTCCGAATTTCGAAAAAAACGGAATATATGTGATATTCCCTGCGCTCTTCTATATACATACCAAATTTCAGATCGATATCTCGTTTTTTGGCCAAGTTATAGCGAAAAAACTGTTAAAAAATGATGACGTCAAATTTTTGAACTCAATTTTTAGCGATTCTAGACCACGTACGGCAAAACAAAGACCACCATTGAACTCCCCGTGACAAGCTGAATCGATTCGATACCCATTTTATGCAAAAATATCAACTTTGAAATTTGACCTAATTTGACCTGACCTTGACCTGACCTTGACCTGAACTTGACCAAAACGTGACCTAAGCTGGCCCCAAAGGCTGCCTGACCCACATAATCGCATTTGTCATGTAAAATGGACCATAAAACAGGTATCACACGACACTTTCATATTGTGACCCCCCAGTGACCTGACCTCTGTGACCTGACCTGGTATCAGTGACCTCAAATAGCAAAATATGTGTTTGAAGAACATTTCCTCATCGATGATTTTCAATGAAATGCATTTTACTCGATTTTTCAATTTTTTTCAATGATTTTAAACGGTGAAAATTGGACCTTTGACCTGACCTGTGACGTCATCGGTTTGACCTAGGTCAATAAAATTTGGTCACAAGGTAGTTCCCTGATAGGGCTATCCAACACCGTTTGCCGCTTGTCGCTAGGTTGCGTGGTTCTCGAGATCTTAGGGGGGGCCAAAATGGCCCCCCCCCCCAACGGGGCGCGTTGCTCGGCAGAGCCCAACGGGGCGCGGGTTAATTATTAGTTCATTGTACAACAAAAGCCGTTGCGCATTAGGCGATAACAATGTAAGATTTTGCGCTGCAATGTAGCTGCAATGACGTGTTTTTGGGCGTTTTTACTTGCGAGATTAATTTTTACAGTGTGCGTCAACATATTTATTCCCTGAAACTTTAACCCTCGCCCTGGCAGGGGGGGAGTCGATGCGACCCCCCTAAGGTTTTTCGAAGATAGCGTAAAAACGGCGGCGCGCAGCGCCGCCAAATTTGGCACAGCTTATGGGGCAACCTTTTTACATATGACCTAAAAATTTCAGGTCTGAGTGACCTTGGGTCAGGTCACCAGGTCAGAAAAACCGGTACAAGGTCATGGTCAAATTTCAATTTTCTTTTTGCACCTGTCCAACTCACAGTTTTGGACTGATTTCCTTCAAACTTTCAGGATGTGCTAAGGTCACCGAGTTGTATAACATATAATTCGTTTTTTTTTAGGTCACTGACCTGAGGTCAGTTAGAGGTCATTACGTCGTAATGTTAAGCCTATGGGAAAATACTAAATTTGGAAAATACTGGAGATATCCGCTTCGTTCTATCACTTTTGTGCTTTGAAACCACAGTACTTAACAGCAGGTCACTTGGTGCTTCTTTGTTTGGTGTACTTATCCATGGGTCAGGTCAAATGAGGTCAACTGAGGTCAAATGACGTTTTTGCCAATAACTTGGCACATAATGACGCTAGAGCTTAAAAAAATGGTATCATTGTGTTCCTGGTGATCAGCCGAATCGAATGATATGCAATATGATGCAATTTGGTTAACTTGAACTTAAGTTATTAATTTAAGTTTACTTAAAATTTAAGAAAAACTTTAAGTACACTTAAGCAAGCTAAAGAGTATATCATTCGACGCGCCTTGATGTGCTGAGTTCACTGGTGCTTTTCTTTTAGCTCTATCTCAATTAGATCAAAAGTTATAAACGAAAAACTTTTGACCTGTTTTTAGCGAAATTTTTACATTTATACCCCCCAAAACTCCCCTAGATATTGACCTAGAGCAACCAAATTTGCACAGGGGCGAGAACTCCAGGGGGCCCACCTACCTACCAAATTTGGTGTTTCTAGGTGCCATAGGAGCCAATCGCGAGGGGGGGATCGCATCGACCCCCCCCCCCCCCTGCCAGGCCGTGTTATGAAAAATGCCCTGCCAGGGCGAGGGTTAAACCCCGTTCATATGATAGCCCTTTTAGTTACGATAATTTTCCTCTTGGTGTTATTGGTGCGCGACTTTTGGATTTCCGGTAATTTTGTGTTATTCATACTATGTTTAAATTGCCCCACCTGTTCAAATTACCGCACCCTACCCTACCTATTGCTTTTATTGGGAGTCCCTGTAAATTGTAATTAACAATAACAAAATGTTAGCGGGAAAATTTGTTTTTTAATTTGGATAATTTTGTTTTTTTTAGGGGTAGCCCCTGCAGTGTTAACCCGCGACCTGATGGGGTCTGCCGAGCAACGCGGTCTGATGGGGGGGCGTTTTGCCCCCCCCCCCCCCTAAGATCTCGAGAACCGCGCAACATATGTTGCGCGGTTGTCGCTATGTAGCGACAAGCGGCAAACGGCGTTGGATAGCCCCAACGGGGAACTACCTTGTGACCCAATTTCATTGACCTCGGTCTAACCGATGACGTCACAGGTCAGGTCAAAGGTCGTATTTTCACCGTTTACAGGCATTCCAAGAAATGCGTTGTAAAATCGAGTTAAATGCATTTCATTGAAAATAATCGATGGGGAAATGTTTGTCAAACACATATTTTGCTATTTGAAGTCACTGATACCAGGTCAGGTCACTGAGGGTCACAAATTAAAAATATCATGTGATGCATGTATTATAGAGATGTCAATCGGATACCAACTTTTTGGTATACCGATACCAAACCGATACCAACTTGGTATTTGGTATTTCAATCGTAATGTGTTTGGTATTTTGTTGGTATCATAAACCCTCACTAATGTATAAGAGGCTAAGAAATCGGTAAAAAGTTGGTATTTCCCTCAGTTTCCCAAGTTGGTTTGGTTTCGGTATTTTCCCATGGTTTTGGTTGGTATTTGGTTTGGTATCGGTATTCTGATTTTCCGTAATTGACATCACTAATGTATTATGGTCCATTTTATCTGCCAAATGCGATTATGTGGGACAGGCAGCCCTTGGGGTCAGTTGAGATTATGTTTTGGTGAAGGACAGGTCAAGGTCAGGTCAAGGTCAGGTCAAGGTCAGGTCAAATTAGGTCAAATTTCAAAGTTGATATTTTTGCATAAAATGGGTATCGATTCGATGCAGCTCGTCACGGGGAGTTCAATGATGGTCTTTGTTTTGCGCTACGTGGTCTAGAATTGCTAAAAATTGAGTTCAAAAATTTGACGTCATCAATTTTGAACCGTTTTTTTCGCTATAACTTGGCCAAAAAGGAGGTATCTATCTAAAATTTGGTATATATATATATGGAAGGCTGCAGGGACTATCACATATATTCCGGTTTTTCGAAATTCGATTTTTTTTGGAAATTTTTGAGTTTTTTTTCTTAAAAAATCATTTTTTTTCCATTTTTGAGGGTAAAAATCCCAAAATTTTGAACATCCGATATAGCAGTTTTGTAGCGCCGTCTTTCTCTACACAACCACATAAAGAACTTTAAAAATTGCTTGTTAACAGTATATTTGGTGAACGTTTCAAGATGTCATAATTTTTGCCCATTTTTACTCGAACATGACCTCAGTTTGACCTCAATAACTCCTGACCCAAGGTGACCTGTGACTTGAAATTTTGTGTGAAGGTGTCAAATTGATGCCCGGGAAGGTACCCAAAATTTGGCGGCGCCGCTATTTAAGAAAAACCACAGGGGGGGGGGGGGCCAAAATGCCCTCCCCCCATCAGGGCGCGGGTTAATGGCCGCCTTTTATCTGGCACTGGTCGTGTTTGCCAAGGTTGAAGCGCTGCGGCCAGCCAGTGAGTGTGTGAATGTGTGTGTGTGTGTTTGTGTGTGTGTGACTGGGTGTGTGCTCTCTCCGGCAGGATTGGTTCTCCAGGCAGCGGCTCGTGCTGGCAGTGGTTATCATCAACATCTCACTGGCCATTCTCTTTCTGAAGCTCCTCACATAGCGGTGGCCTTAGAACATTACTTGAGCGTCATCAGTGTTCGTTGAAGCGCAATCTGAGGCCGTGATTGGCCGAAACAGAGCGCGTGTCTGCAACCTAGCGACCAATCGGTGCCTTGCTCGCTGTGCGCGCGCGAGACGCGACCCCAGCTGAGTCGCTCACACCGGAGGCTGCGGTCGCAACAGGAAGCGACGCACGAATGCCTGAGCTATTTTTTCACGGAGAGAGGTGTGACAGAGCCTCGGCGGCGTGCCTTCAGCTGCAGTTTTTACCTGCAGCCAGCCGGTGCCGGTGACCAGCGGACGGAGCAGTGCCACCCATATTCCCCGAGAGTGCTGTTACCGAATCAAACGACGCCGCTGCCTGCAGCCGAGTGTGTGCCGATGCTTCAATTTTGGCCGCCTGTCTGCCGGACGCGGCGCGACTCCCCTGACTGTTTGCTCCGAGTCGTCCGTACCTACATGAACATCGACCTGACTCGTATACGCTCACGTTACGGCTAAGGGGTTTCCTCAGTTTTGCTTGTCCTGTTTGAGCGATGGCCCTGCGACTGGCGACTGGTGACTGGTGCGGCGGCTGGGGCGGTGCAGGTCGCGGCGGTGGGCGTCGGCCGGGGACCTCGCCGCCCAGCTGCGTGCCACCCCGCGCTTCCAGGGGCCGTGCCTGCCCCGGAGTGGGAGGGTGAGGGCAGGGGCGGAGAGGGCGCCGGCGCCTGGACACGTGTCCCCGGGCCGGCCCAGCAGCCAGTGCCCAGGTGCTCACGGCCCGCCGCCCGCATAGATGGCCAGACAACTGCCTGACGACTGGTAGTAGTTGTGCAAACCGCACAGGGGTGGGAGGAGAGGTGACGTTGCAACCTTCCGTTATGTTATGCAATGATAACACCAACGATACATTTGTTTGGAATAATTTGGCGCGGCTGGAAGTTGCGTGTGTCTCGTTTTGTCGCCCGCGTGCTGGTGTGGACGGCACCATATTCCTGTCGTCTGGCGGCGACACGCTCCGCGGACAGCTCGGCGACCGGCCGCGGCCCGTCCGGCAGTCTCAGTCTGTCTGCAGGTGCAGCCCCACCCAAATACAAACCAGCCAACTCTGCGCCCGGCCTTTGGTGATGCAATATCGCGGGGCTCGCAGCTCACTCAGTGACGGAATCTCATTACATAGCGTTTGATCATAGGCTCGGGAACTTTTTTTTAGTGGTTGGGGGAGGGGGGAGTAGCATAGATAAACGTAAAATAGTTAGGTACCTACCTGACCTGATAGAGAATGATGACACATTTAACACTCACCGGCACAAGGGAGCTGATGCAACCTTTCCTAAGGGTTTTTTTTTTCGCGAATAACTCGCGTAAAAAGCGGCTGATCGCAACGAAACTATCCGTACCCTCGCATTGATCAATTTTACACCTACCCAGAAAATTTCATGACCCTGCCCCAAATGACCTTTAACCCTCACCCGCACATGGGGGGGGGGTTGCCACCCCCCCCCCCCCAGGTAGTCTTTCTGCTCTGCACTCAACATTTTTAAAGCTAGAAGGCTGATTTTTCGTATAGCTGCTCCTCTATCCTTTTTTAATGTTCACTGAAAATTTCAAGTTTCTGTGACTTTTGGTTTTGGAGATATGACCTTGTTTTTCAGGTCATGTCATGACCCAAATGGCCAATTCTCGACATCTTGCGTTGGCTATGGGCCTTGTGAGCTTTTGACACCTTGATTTCGGCCTTTTTTACCAGTCTTATCTCCCACCTATCATGGAACATGTTGTTCGACGATGTACAGATGTCAAGGTCAAGGTCAAGGTCAACCTAGGTCATCTAAGATAATTGCGTTTTAGGCAAGCGGAATTTACTTTTTGTGAAGTTTTTTGACTGCATTTTTGGTAAAAGCTTCTCAGATCATGATTTCATGTAATATGGACACATAAACAATCGGTGCACACATCAGTAGGTATACACACAGACACACACAGACATACAAACACATATAATTGACCTTGGCCTAACTTGACCTGAAATGACCTCAGCAGCAAAAACCTGGTCGGGTAGTGTGAGAAAGAGGTTCTAGCTGGCTTGGCACCAGAAAACGGCATCGTCATCGGTATATGATAAGCAGCGCACTTGATATCAAACGGTGACCCAAAACAGCAACATTTTTTTAGTTTGACCTGACCTGCAAGGTCAATGACTGACCTGAGAAGGTAAAACTGGGTATCATTGGATTCGTCTCTTCCCAAAGAATCTTTTTGGTCTTTACCGCTAAGCTCTATCTCCAACAGGAACGAAATGGCGCGGGGGGGGGGGGGTGGCAACCACCCCCCCCCCCCATGTGCGTTCTAGGATGGGAAAATGGCATGTGCGGGCGAGGGTTAACCTGTCGCCTATTTCTCCAGACCATGTTTGGCTGGAATCGAAATTCGGCATGTGTCGGCTCACATTAGCAGCGCGTTTGCAATCTTTTCGTGGTTTCAAACGTTCAAACATGTGATTTGATGTTCTCCCATGCATTAGGGTGGATGTCAAGGTCACCTGAAGGTCAGGTCAGGTCATTGACCTTTGGTGACCTCGCTTTACTTTTTCGAGTTTTACATGTTTCCAGGCTAGTTTTTGGAGCTGAATTTGAATTTAGCAACCATTTGAACATTTACGAAGTATTTTTGGGGCCTTCGTAACAAGTAGCGAAGCTGTCAGAGGCGGTTGACACGTAGGTACCACGAATACCCGTCAGAAAAACGCATAGAAAAGCAATCGATAGCTTTTGAGCTCTTCTTTTGATAAGGTCATCATTAAAATTGACGTCAGGTCAACGGTTTAGCCTCCAGAGGGCAAAAACTCTAAAAATAGCTGTTTTTACGAAACGTGTTTTCGACAATAACTTTTGACTAAAAAAGCCACGACATTTCTATCGCCAGAATCGTGTTCCTCTCGCCGAAACGAGTTGAATGAATTATAATTTGACCTTGAAAGTTCAACTTGAAAATTTGACCTCAGGCCAAGGTCATGATCTGACCGGAAAAAGTAACGTTGCATATAAATCGATGCGTCTCAACAAGACAAAAACAATGAGGCCATTCCCAGCGTTCTATCTCTTTCCAATCGAGAGTTATTGGCAAAAATATGTGTGTAGCCTCAAATGACCTCGGATGACCCTCCTAGTGACTATCAGCAAAAAAGACACCTTGGTCGTCACGGGTGGTCCAAATAATTGTGATTTTGAAATATTTGGTCTGTTCCCCCTTGTATACTTTTTCTAGCAAAATAAGAATACATGTCAGTACTCGACTGCCAAATTTGCAGCTATCCTATACCTAGCTCAAGAACTACTCGGCCGATTAGGACAAACGAGGCAGCATTCGGATAAGAATATACGATTTTATAAGTCGTTTTTAATATAGCAGTGATCTCAGGTGACCTCAGTGACCTTCAAAGGTCAACTTAGCATTTTCGCCTATTGCAGCCATTCTATAACTCATGAACTACGGGACCTATCGAGACGAAAAAATCACCAGTCGATTCCCTGGATGCTATTTCATCAGCCGTTTTAATTATGGTGACCTCAGGCAATATTTCTTGAAACGTCTGTTAAGGTAGGGGAGAGTGGGGCTATTTGTTACAGGGGCAAGTTGTTACAAAGCAAATATCTTCAAAAACGCTCTTGATATCGCGCCAATATTTACGATAGCAGAAAGGTTGCGATCGTTATACATGTCACTGCAGGCTCAGACCTGGTGGAACGCCAGGTAGGTCGCCCGCACTGGGGTAAGTTGTGACAGCAAAAGTTTTTTTTTTTTTGCTAGTCAACACTTTGGATCGATTTTTGTCAAGGTTATTCGTGTAAGATTGTTGTTGAATGCATGTTCACAAAATTAAGTGATCATTTCTTTTGTAAGATTATCAAGTGAAAAGCACTAGCCTCTTCGGGAAAACAAACATTTGAATTTAATCGTGTGAAAGTCGGCTGACGGAGGGCCGAGGCATGTTTAAAGATGACTGATGACTACACAAAGATACTTGTAGCGTGCACCATTTTACCTGGGCATAACTTTCGTGCAGAAAATCAAAGTCCTGTCAGTATGGCAATGCATTGTGCCCTCGGTGTCGCAGTAAAGGCAAATAAGAAATTTAGCCATATTTGATGAACCTTTTCATGCCTGTGGAGTTCAGTAATGCTTTATGCTTTATTGCCCCTGCCTTCCAATAAGAAGGAAAGCATGTTTAGTGTTACCCATAATGAAGGTTTACGATCAATTACGATAGGACGGTCAATGATCGTTATAATGATGAAGAAACTACGGAAAAGAAGTGTAACATGTTACCCCACACTGTGTATCAACCTGCCCCACAATTTTTCAACCTACCCCAAAAATCTTGCTTTGGTTTTCTGCCTTTCACATATACCTAAGTAAATTGTCGTAAAGAAGCAGTAGCGGCGGAACATCCTCAATTAAGCGGGGCACTGCCGACTTTTGGTCCCATTCTTTCCATGCAACGCCCATAGGGCTAATGTTAAAATGCCAAAATCAAAGCGGGGCAGAGACGGATGAATGGACGGACGGACGGACGGACGGAGAGTGACGGATGGACGGACGGTTGGAGAAACGGACGGACGGATGGACGGACTGAGAGACAGAAGGGCGGACGGTGGACGGACGGATGGAGAGACGAATGGACGGATTGAGAGACGGACGGGCGGGCGAACGGAGGGAGAGAGAGAGAGAGAGAGAGAGAGAGAGAGAGAGAGAGAGAGAGAGAGAGAGAGAGAGAGAGAGAGAGAGAGAGAGAGAGAGAGAGAGAGAGAGAGAGAGAGAGAGAGAGAGCTTGTCTAGAGTGAGGCCAAAAAGATCGATTTTATCTTTGTGTGTCTGAATCATGCTGCAGACTGCCGTGACAGCTTCGTCAACTGGTACGTTACCATAGAGGGTTTGAACGTCCAACGAACGTGCTCGGTGGTACTGGTGCTCTGACAGGGTGATTTGATTTGCCAGTTTCGAGAATTTCTTGTGCAGTCTTCTTCGGTTCTGCTGGAGGGTTGACCAGAACAGTCTGTGTGCCTCTTGTACTGTCCATTGAACCAAAAGGTGTGTAGAGCCAGCTACTTCCTGGAGAAGTCTTCTTCGTTGTCGCCATAGAAAAGCGCGATGTCGGAACGCATCTTGAAGAGTTTCGTTCAAAACCGTGAGGGAAAAACGATCAACCTTTCTTTGAAAATCTTCATTTTTGTTTCGTTTTTACAAAAAGCGTTTTTTCGGCAATAACTTTTTACTCAAAAGAGCCATGACATTACTTTTGCCAGCATCGTGTTTCTCTCGACGAGACGCGTCGAACGAATTATAATCTATATTATGATTTATCTATATTATGATTTATAACATGTCTGTACGATCTCCATCCGTGTGTCATGCCTATTATGTCTAATTGCGCGAGAACGGTGCGGCGTAGCGACTTGAAATTTGGCATGCCGAATCTGTGGGCGTGGGCGGCCTTTGTATTAAAATTTGGGGGTGATCGGCCCAGGGGTGCGCCGTCGGCACGTGCAAAAGGGTGCTCCCATAGGCTTAACACGTGGCCGGCGAAAACCGCCAACGGGCGAAAATCGGGCCTGCAGCGCTCCTTTCCCGAGCTTATATCTCGGCAACCGTAAGTCGCAGCCACATGCGGTTTTCACTGAGGGATACAGAAGAGATGGGTCTATCGTATGCAATAAGTTTTGTTCTTAGGTATGTACCACGTACAAAGAAATAGCCTCTAATCTCGAGAAAACGGGCATTTTTTACACATTTCAGGAAAAACGTTGGCATTTGAAAACGATTCATTGGAATGACACAGGATGCATTTCGCGGACTACAAGAGGATCTGAACTGTTCAGAAAATATATATTTTTGCCCATTCACTCGCACATCTTCATAATTAAACGCTTACAAATTGAGGGTTTGACGCGTTACGTTCATGCTCACCTTTGCACCGTCATAATGTATTGATAACGTCGACTTATGGCTATAAATCTACCCCAGATCGAAAGAACACTCTTTTCTGATCAATATCCACCCAAAATATTTTCAAAAAGTCATCAAGGGCTCTAAGAAACAGAGCAAT